AATATTAATTAATGAATAGAAAAAATGACAAACAATAATTAAATTATTTACCTGAACTTGCTGATGAAAATTATTTTTAAAATCTTTTTGTATAAAACTAATCAAACTATTATGTTGGTAACGTTTATGTAATTTCATTAATTTCATTATCCTTGAATCTATCCTTATTTCATTGGATATATTATAAGAAGAGATTTGAACATCCTCTGATGTTGATATCTTTTTCATCCCCAAATGAATGAATACGTGTTAGTTTATATATATGTATCAAATTAATTGTTTTTTAAATCAAGAATAAAATATATTTTTTACCTGTCTTTGTGATTTTCGTTCATCAATTATTATTGGATTGTCAACAGTTGATTCAATGAAGTTTAAGTTTTCGTTAATAAAAATAGCATCAGATAAATTTAATCTCTTTGAATTCACAAATTTATTCAACAATTTAATTTCACCAAATATCAACGAACTTAAAGCACTTTTTAATACTTCAAAATCTAAATAAAGTAAATAAATAATATGGAATGTTAAATATTATATAATAGATACATATATGTGCATAAAATACATACATACATAATATATTTACCTAATTCGGTATTTTTCATAATTTCACGAATAGTGTATGATATTTGATATGATCTTGTATAGTTGAACATTTCCAATATTATAAACATGCACATATTTATACTAAAGTACATTTTTCCCTAGCAGATAATATTGAAAAATACATTAGTATTAATATTCTATTAATAATATTTATAGTAATATAATCATTAACTACCTTTGGATGAATTAAAGAAATAATTAGATTATCATAGGAATGTAACCATTTAAGATTTCTATTAGCACCATCTCTTCTCTTACAATAAAAATAATCTTGAAATGATTTTCTCATCAAGAACAACTAAAAAATTGATTAATATATATACAAGTTAACATATAATGATGATGAATGATGATGATGATGATATATTATTATTATTGGATTTACTTCATATGGTATTTTTAGATCAGCAACTTCAGGCGATGGTCCAGTGATAAATTTTGGCCAATAGGACCCTGTTAATATTGTTACTTTGAGATGATTAAAAATCTACAAAAATGTTTGATTAATGAATGGTAAGACATTAATTATTAATTATAGATGTCAATCAATCAATTAATTGTCGTTGTTGTTGGTTAATTAATATTTACATCAAAATCTTTTTTTATTCCAATTGATTCATGGATGTCTTTAATCATCCCATATAAATTATCTAAATATAAATCGTCCCCTGAAAATGAATTATAAAACAATTATATATCATACAACAATATAATAATAATCAATAATTTAACATCTACCTATTATATTTGCCCTGTTAAATAATGACAAAATCCACTCTTCATTCGAAAGATTAAAGTTTTTGTCATCATGATGATAAAGTAGTCTTTTAGCAAATTTTTTCTTATAATGTTTCATAAAATAAGGTTTATCTATAAATAACAACAACAATAAAATTACAAATGCTAACAGCAGCAACAGCAGCAGTAATACTAATGGCAATAATGAATATGGTCACTATGATGATTATATAAAGACAATGATAAAGTCAATCAAGGAACTGGGACTTTATGATTCATTTAAATATGCATTTCTAGAAAATTCAAGAAAATTTTTTCATGAGAAAAGTCAATCATATCGACCATTAATTGAAAATCGTAATATAGGCACCTATTTGAAATTGATCAAACAACAGATTGAATTTGAGATTGATAAAGTG